CTGCATTTTGAGTTTTTGTTGGTGTGGCATTAGATGGATAACAAAGACAGATCAGCTTTAAATTAGAAAAGATTATATCTCTGATGTAACTGTTTAGGACCTGAGACAAAGGAATTTGCAGAAGAAAGCGTATGTTGACAGGCTCAACAGCTATGGTCAAAGCTCACTTAAAACAAGTGGGTTTGTTCAGCAACCTCATAAAATGTTTATACAATTTTTAGGTGTTCAACAGCAAACTGTTGCAGTTTGTGCCTGTTTAATCATGCCATGTGGAAGATCAGTAAGAATAATTGATTTTCATGCATCTAATTTTGGACCTAATTACTGTAATATTTTAGATAACATTATCTATTTAAATATATGTGGTAGAGAGTCAATAATGGTTTTCTAGGTTTAGCTCCGCTCTTTGGTTAACTCTGCCTGAGAGCACGCCAACAACCTTTTTGAATCTAGCAATTGTTCAGAATTTATGCAACAGGTAATCTCATACAGGCAACTAATGATGCAACTAGTACTTATAAAATTGGGAGGAAGGAGTGGGTAAAAATAAATATATGGAGGAAAATTATTAAAATCAAAAGATTGCACTGGAACAGGAACAAATAATCTAGTCATGAATCAACTTTAGACAAGAAAATTTGGAAAAAATGTCTACAGAGAAGTTCAGGAACAGCTTTCTGAACAGGGTAATGTGCATCTCATCCTGCTCCAATGTGTCAATAAAAAAGAGTGACTGTTCAGTTAGAAACTTGCAGCTTTGGCCTTTAAAGTTTCACTCTTTGTTTCGTTGGTGTCCCCTTTCTCCAGCCCCTCTGATGCTTAATGTGTTCCTATGATTGCCCAAAGCTAGAGGTGGCTGGGGGCGTTGGTGTGTCTGAGAAGCAGCTGGAGTAGCTGTTGCTTGTTCTAATCACACTCTGGTGGGCAGCAAGAATGACAGCAGGCCTCCATCTTCCTTCTCCTACCCTAGGCTGTTGTCTTTTGACAAAGACCAGGTGAAATCATACTACAGCCAAACACTCTGTATGTTCCTTTCTTTGGGTCGCTGCTGCCCTCTTCTGCCTGCTTCCTGCGACTGCTGTAGTACCTGTAGTTCCTGACGTGTTCCACCACAGGTCTCTTGTCTGTTGGGATTTGTTGTGGGAGACAATTCTAAGTGGATTCCTTTGGTATTAAACTTTATGAGATGTTTGCTTGTGATGTGAGTTTAACTGGCATTAATAACTCAGTAGTTTGAAAGAAGCAGGGGTGGATGGAAAGTCCCGTGAACCAATTGCAAACGCCCACAATCTCACCCACCTCGCAGCCCTTGCGCGCGTGTGAAAGTTACAGTTGTGCCGCAGCACAGCTCGTAGCTGTGTTCCTGCAGCTGATGGAGTGAAATGCAGTGGGTTTCTAGGGCTGGGCACAATGCAGAATTAGTTATATTCAAGACAGTGTTCTGATATTTGGTTGGCACCCTTCTATATTTACTTCACAGAGCTGTAAACGTGGACTCCATGTGTTGTAAGAAATACTTTGTCAGCATGGAAGCTGCCGCTGTTCTGCCCAACTTGTTGTACAATGGATTTATGCCAGCATGACTTGCAGTGCTGTAGCATGTCTGTGTTAGGTGTTTGTACTGGTGCAAACCTGTGTGTACCTGTTATAGCTGTATGCCTCAGAAATGTAGGGCTTGAAACCCGGGTTTCTGATGCAATACTTTTTGGGTGAAGCCATCTCCTCTGCGTAACTTGTGTAATTAAGGTTATTAACAATTCTGGCACCCTGACAAATGGATGCATGTGTATTATGAAGCACAGGGCAAGCGCTAGACTGAAGCCTGAGGACATAGGTGGAACTGAGACACAGCCAGCTTTCAGGCGTGCTAAGAAGATGATACACAATTGTATTTCCATTGCAGCTGCCCCTCTGTTCCTAGGCCAGACTGCATAGCTTCTGCCTGGTCCGGGGTCTCGCAGCATGTTTGACCAGTGGAGTCCTGGGGATTTTCTCGCTGTGGCTGTATTCGACCAGGCACAGTCAGAGGGTGTGGGAACCCGCTGTGCTCCCCTAGAGGGTTTTTGTCAGGGTGGGGTGTAACTGCCCAGGGGTGGTGGATCTCCCTGGTCGGGCAGTGCCGGGTGACAGGCATGACTGCCACGTGGCAGGGGCATGTGAGCACAGCGGCCTGGTGGCAGGAGGGTGGAGACAAGGCAGGAATGGCTGCTTTTCATTCTCTCAGAAAAGATATGATAGTTTCAAATCCTAAAAACCACAACATGTGCAGTAAAATTCCCTCTCTTTAGAGAGACTGAACAAGGCATGCTGTTTCTCCTAGAGCCCTTTAAATTCTAACAGTTCTTTGTGATTCCTGATGCACTCAGCCTACAGTGTAGCAGTTGCAATACTACGGCCTGTCCAAAAGTACAGATCTATTCTTTCTAATAGGTAGTGGTAAGTTTCTACAATGTTCGTTATTTTGAAAACACAAACCTTTACTTCAAAACAAGAATAAAAGTAAAACTGTATTCTGTGACTTAAGTTCCTCTGCTCTCTTCAGATAAACTGAACTGCAACTGTAACGGAAGAGATCACAGGCAGGAGAGAATTTCTGGATGTAGTGAGAAATTTCATGTATTCTTGGAATAAGCTTTTATTGGAGCAAAATAATTGGCAAGAATAGATCATCTCCTTAATAATTTTTTAAATATTTTAGTCTAAGGACCACTCTTCTCATTTCCAAATGCAGGTCAATCTATTATGCAGTATTTATTTTGATAAACTGTGCATTCTTTCTTGTATCAACAATTATGAAATCTTTTATTTGCCTCGACAACAGCAATTGAAGGAAGATTTGCATGGCAGGTTGGTAGAATCGGCATGAATGCAGAGAAACTCTTAGATGTAGTGGACAGGCGCTTTTGTGTATTGGCTAAGAGCAAACATCCATCCTAATAGTTGATAGCATCCAGAAGTCAGTCAGGAGCTAAATGAATTGGGACTGCAGAAGTGGTGTCAGTTTCTCAAGACTGTGACCCTGAACAAGATTGTCACCTTGTATATTCCTGGCTTTTTGACCAATTAATGATGATGATGTTGTGCCAGGGACTTCTCTGAGGATGTTTACAAACAGCACATAGACAGAACTGAACCTTCTTGCTGCAATGATGAAATGTGTAAATAGTGTCATTCCAAGGATGTCTTGCTCAGAGCAGCTAAATTCCCTCTGAACAACTTGCATATGGAAAAAATCAGAAATGTTAATCTCTGATACTCTGTGTGTGTGTGTGTAGCTATTCATACTGGAGTCACAGTTCTCTCATTTTTCTTGTGTTCCTTAAGTTCACCTTGCTGGGAGGGCAAGGACATTAAATTAGTAGTGTTATTTAGCAAGCCTTTAGGGACTGCAGGGCAGTGTCACAGATGGAGTGACTAAAACTATCTGCCAGTTGGAGGAGGGTGAAGGATTTCTCATAGCGACCTCGTAGTCTACAAAGGCTATGTACACTGATGAGGGCAGCACATGCTGCACTAACCATGCTGAGGCTGGCTCGTAAAAACCAGCCATCTGACATCAGGGCTACACAAATAGCAGAAGCTTTACTTGAACATTCCTCGGGGAGTGGAATTGCTCAGCAGTCCTTCCCCTCTATCCTGTTGGCATAACTGACACATATCACATGATCAAGGAGGTAGTTGTGATCACAGATGGAAACTTGCCCTGTTACAACACAAAGCACATGCATCTTTCCAAGCAAAAGCATATATATATAGATAGATTATGCTGTGTTCCTGGCTTGGCTCCTGAGAAGACAGACAAAATTAGGGCTTTGTTGCAAGTCCATCTTAGCATGAAGTGGAAACAGAACACATCACATATATTTTCTTTATTGCTGGACTTTTTTTTTTTTTTCCAGTAAGTAGGCATGATTCCTTAAAGGCTGAGGTTTTTAGTAACAGTAAGGTTTTTCAGGTTTCTTTTTTTGCTGTCAACAAAAAGATACCTTTGATCAAAGTTTTGCCTTATATTACAGTATTTCTGTACAAAAATAGAAGTCCAAAATCAGCTTATTATTAGCTGATATTCCCCAATGTATTTACAGGGTACTGTCAAGAACCTTCATCAGGCAACAAGGTAAAATAGAGAACACTGTATTAAAGCAGTTGCATTGTATAACTCCCGTGTTCCCTCGTCAACTCTGAAGGGCTCTGACCTTTGGCAGTCAGTCTGGGTTCGAGAGTCCAGCCAGAATTATAAAAGAGTGGTGTCTTTAAAAGGAAAATTTAATACTATAAACTTAAGCTGACATTATGGAGTATTGAACTGATAATTGTATTTCCATATTAGGGTAGTCTATAAATACTCTCAGCTACATCTCTCCTTATAATACAGCAGATACAGAATGCAGACTTCTGCTACTTATATGGTAATACAAATTTGCAATAGTAAAATCAATGTATGAAAATTTTGGAATTTACTTGCTAATAAAACTGCTTATAAAGTAACCATACAATTGTAACAACTATAACTCTGAACTATTTAAATGTACAGAAGGACTGTTTACACCATTGCACATACTTATTCCCTTTGCTTCAAAAGATTTCTGAAATACAGAATAAAATTAGTCGACTTTTTACTGACAGCTCAAATACACATGTGCGATGTGCACATCCATGGAAGCAAGGGGAAACAAAATGTTGGTGTCCATCAGGAAGGCTGCCAGCAGCTCTCCAAAAAAATATACCTTGCTCTTCTTCCCTCCCCCTTCCCACATGTAGACAGGCCAGCAGATTAGTGCAGAATGGATGAATTTGTTTTCAGTGTTCTGAAAGGACAAAAAGAATCCTCTTGACTTTTATCAGCAATTTTAGGTCAATGTAAGTTGGGTTTAATATTGTAAGGCACTTAGTACTGCTTGTATTGCAGTGGATCGTCTTAAGGCATTTGTTACATCAACTGAAGATAAGAATGCTTTGGAAAGTTTTGAACGAGCCAGCCAGTTCTAGTATGTGACTATTTCAGCTGATTTTCCCCTCCCCACCCCATGGTCTTTGTGAAACAATGTTTGAAGATATTTTCCGTGGAAAGTCTGGTTCTTGGTTAGCTTGTCAACAGACGTGATCAGTATCATCAGGTCATTTTGAGGCTAAGCAGTGATATGTTCTATTTAGAGCATGGTAGAACTGGTTTTGTTTTCACCTGGAGCTGCCCTGACTTCCATGACTACTCACTGATCGAGAGGTGCTATAGCGTTTTTTCACAATCATACTGATGTAAGCTTTCATCAGCTTTGCAATGTCAACCACCTGCCAAAAGAGTATAAAGAGAAAAGTTCTTAGTAAGGTAACAGTATGTGAATGAATGTATTTAGATGCTAACAATATAAAACTGTTGAGCTTTCAACAAGGCCCTTTTGTGGTTAAACAAGTGAAAATACTCAGCGCTTTTCTCCATCTCACTGTGTCTTCCCTCCAACTTTACAAGGGCCTTGAATAAATCTGTACCATTTGCAGCAGTTACTTAAATTACTAATTTGCTTGGCTATCAGAACGTGAAGACTACAATAACAAAATTCCTTCTTGCTCTTACCTCACTAGTTTCAAAAAGCAGTTCTCTCTCATCCACCACAATCTTGTAGGTGTTGGCGAGCGGTGCACCAAATGACAAGATACGTTCATACTGAAACACCTCCAGAGGCCGTCCTTCCCCACGCTTGTAGACAGAAACTGCATCAGCACTGACTCCAAGCCACAACTCTTGTGGGAATCCCCCTTCTTTACACTAGAGGAAAGAAGGTAAAAGTAACAGCAAAGGGAACAGAGAGAGCCACATAACATTTTTTAACAAGTGCATATTGCTTGTCCTTCTTTGAACATAGCCTTTCACACTTCTCAAACTTGTTTGCAGCCCATCAGGCTAGCATTCTGTCCCTCTGTATTTTATTAACTAGTGGATTTAAATAGCTACAGTGCTTACTAACAGGACTATGCTTTTAATATCTAACATTTTATTACATCAGCTGTCTAAGCATTGTGATGCCCTATTTATGGTTTCACTACTCTATAATGAAACCATCATTTACATAGTATAAACTCTAGTTTGAGTGCTCAGGAGGTCTTACCTCTACGTCAAAGAGTGTTGAGCCATAGCCAGGCCATTCCTTAATCAAAGCCATATACTTTGCCATAGCCTGCTCCTGGTTCATCCTCTGGAGTTTTTTCCATTTGTCAATAATACTCGTCCTAGAAGCTGAGATTTCCTCTTTGACCCACATGTCTAACATCTGATCCTCCTCAACCTTCTGTTTGCTGACAGAGCCACTGCGAAAACTCCTCCGCAATGTCCCTTCAAGAAAGCTGGCACGTTTCTTCTCAGCCTTCTCTGCTGCAGTAAATGTTTTGGTAGACTGGGTAATCCGAGACTTCAGCTTTTGCAAGGGATAGACTTCCTCCATTTCTGGTACAGTGGTATGCAAAGTGTAATCTCCCTGAAGGTACTGAAGACGCAAAGCTGCAAGGACCTGGAGGGTTTCTTCAGGAGCAGGATAATGTCCTCTAATCACTGCTTCATGAGCCTATCAAGGGGGAAAAAAAAGGTAGATTTTTATATACCTACCAGTATTTGAAAGGACTAAGAGAGAAATGGGAAGTAGATTTACTACAGGCAAACCCAGGATCTGAAATAAATGATCCATTAAATAAATAAAATGTGGTAAATCTCCTGGCAAATTTGTTAATTTCAATAAAACAAGGATTACCAGAAGAACTGCAAGGCAATCAAGGAACTTGCTAAATGGGAATTACTGTTACTAGTACAGCTCTTAGTGAACTCACAGATATAAGAGCAACTGAATTACTAAAAAGGAAACAAAATGTAAAGGGAATAAAATAAAGATCTAAACATCTTATTGGGAGGAAGCCATCTACATTCAAGGGCGTTAGGAAGAAATGTGCATCTGGTTTTGCTTACTGCTGTCAATAATCTGGCTATGAAAACTGACGTTTCCAGCCAAACAAGCAAAGCCCTAGGACAACTTTGTAATAAACCTCACTAAGAGAAAACAGTAAATCTTCCATGGATCCCAGATACAGTTAATAAAACATTCATATGTTATAGTGCTCTGTAGCATCAGGGATGAGATTCTGAACCAAGATGACTATTTCAAATCCTGTCTCTTTGCACACCCATTCAAACCTTTCAAAATGTGCAGCAGCTAGGAATTTATTATTTTTTTTTCATATGACACTAGTACAGGAAACAAACACGCCTCATGTCTGGAGATGCAGGAATTGCAAGCAGTTTAGTAAACGCACAGAGATAATTCACATCTGAGTAAGAGCTAGGCCATTTAGGTGTACACTTAGGATGGAGACAAAATGTGCCTTTAAACATTCAAGATGGTTTACCTGAGATTGTACCATGGAGAGGAAAGAGCTCTCTCATGGAAATGGAAGGACAGTATTTTCATGACAAAGAAGAACTAAAAGATTTTCTTCAGGGCTTTATGAATTAAAGGATTCAGACTTTAAAATAATGGAGGTTACAGAACTAAAACTGATGACAAAAGGGAACTTTCTTAATTGTCTGAAAAAAGTTGATGACTGACATCAAAAGCAGACAATTAGAAAAAAAGAACAGAACTGATGTTAGAATGTAATAAGTCACCTCTTTAAGGTACTGCTGTAATATTAATCCTAGGGATCGAATGTGCCATACTTTATAAATGAAATAGTATTGGTCTTGGCAAGACATAAAATATTTGGCTCAAAACCAGTCAGCACAGAATGCTGCATGAGAACAATCTGCTTCAGCCAATGTGCTTGTTTTAGTTGTTCCTCTGTAAAACTACCTAAATCTGCCTCTTCAACCAATAATGTAATGTAAAATATCTGATGCAGAGCTCTCACAGATTTTCTTCTTACTGTTTCAACTTCATCCCAAAGCAGGGGCATTAACTGGCAGACTCCTCTATATGTAAAAACAGACAAGACAGTCAGAATGGCAATGTTTCTTAGCCCAACCATGGCAACTGATTGCCCAGATCCTTCAGGCAGCAATAAGCAGTTCTGGACTGAGCTACAGTTGTAGGCGCTGGAAGGAGACTTTTGGTAGGTATATGATGTAATATGGTGCCTGAAAACCTAAACTGGGAACAAGGAAGAAATACTCTATCACAGTGAAGATGTTTCTGATCCTGTGGAAGGGGAAAAAGGCTTCATACACATGAAAATTGAAATATGTCAGTTCCTGATCACATCAGGCTTGCTCACCAACAGAATATCAGTGTCTTGGCACTGCAAATGCAGAATTCTTTATCTGTCTCTAGAGCCTCCTTGAAAGAAGCTGTCCACTGGAAGAATTTTTAGCCATTTGTAATATAGTGGAAAAGAAGAAGATCAATCAACAATAATAAATGAATGCCATCAGTGAGAGTTGCTGAACAATTATAGGACTTCATATAATAGAAATCCAACTGCTGATGCATTTAATTTTCATTATAAATCAATTTTGTTTATGTTTTGCAATATGGCCTCATTCCGAGCTCAGCACATTCATTAAGTGGATTTCTCCTCATGAGAGCTGCCTTATGGTTACTGCTGAGACTGGACTGATTTGTTTTATTATGGTGCCTATGAAATACAATCAGTTTCTGAAAAGAGAAGAAGCTATTGTTTGATTAGTTCTGTCCAGTTGCCAACCTGGGTCTCTAATAATTAATTTGCTCGCCAACTACACATTTTTCACTTTATTTCTTGGACTTTCTTAAGAAAATGGTTTCACAAGAGCAAAATTAAAAGCAAATATCATCCTTTTTTTATCCAGCTTAGACTCAGTTATCCAATTTTTACCACTGTACATAAAGCAATGCACAAGTAATGCAGAAATAAGAAAAGTCATAACACTAGGTAAATCATATGTGGTTCACTTCTGTCGGCATAAGCCTATTTTGACCACTGAACTGCTTTCTTTGCATTGGATCCTTGAGTAGTAGTGCATTTACTTAAACGGAAGCATAATCAAAACTCTCTCTGTGCTGCCTAGATGTCTTGCTTTCTTCCGCCTCTTACAACCATCTCACAACAGAACCTTTGCCCTTTACCTGTTCAAACATAAAGGCAAATTCCACACTATCTTTTGGGACGTTTTCTGTGTCCAGGAAGCAGTAGAGCTTGAAGTAGAACTTCCAGTGCATGTCCCCAGCTTCAGCAGTGGCAGCAAGCCTGCAAAGGGGTGTGAAGAAGGAGAGAGAGATCAGATCTGAAGAATCTAAGCAAGGCATCAGCTCAGTTTTCCTTTGTTACACCTGCTATCAATCTGGTATTGTTGACAGGAGCTAACTGTTTTCAGCAGTATACCTGACTGATGTAATTTGGAGATATCTCTCTCTCTATAAATATATATAGATACATGTGTGTGTGTATTTAGAGCCTACAGCATAATCAAGGACTTAAAAATGTTGACTCAGTTCTCAGTCAACTGTTTCTAAGACAGATTATCTTAAACTTTTATTTGTGGCTCAGTCGGGTGGTGATAAAAGCAACATTATTAAGTCCTGTTATAAAATGTAATTGCACAAGACTTTAGACATTCCTTTTTTCCTCCCGTTATTATGTGGATAAAGGAGGCCAAATGCCATGCATATAACATAAGGACAGATGGGTACTTAGGCCTGTATTACATTTTCTTACTACAGTGCTATGAGTGGTTTCAATTTTACTGGTAAGAAAAATGTTGTGAGCTGTACTGTGGTGACCTCCACCTGAAGTTAGGCAGCAGGTAGTCAGAATGGTAATGATTGCCTGGAGCTCAGTTCTCCCAGTACTGGGGCAGCCACAATGCTAATAATGGTAGAAAAATTTGTAGTAGTAGAAAATAAAATGTGGAAGTAGTGATGAGAAATATTACTCTGCTGGTGTCAAGACAGAGGAAAACCAAACACAAGTGAATAGGCGGCTCATTAATTCCTTTAAGAAAAGAAAAATAAAGATGCTTTTGTTCCAGAAATGTCCATGTGTGTAATTCAGCTGTGTCATCACAAACAAGCAAGAGAAAGAGAAAATTCAGCATTATTGACATAGGAAATGTATTTAATTGCTACTTATTAGAGTGGTAAGAGAGAAGGGAGGCGCACTCACTTTTCAAACTTTGCCAAGACATCAGCCACAATGGTTCTGCTTTCAATTGCTTTATCAGTAGTTCCATTGTATTCAAACAAAGCAAACATATTTCTGCTATCCTCCATGGCCAAGCCACGAATTAACTTTTCAACCACCTAATGAAAAACAGCATATGAAAAAAACATAGCATGGAAAAGCAGCACCACAGGATAAGACAAATAAGTGGAAGAAAATTCAGAGCTAGGTTTTACATTAGGCTAAAAATGTTGCTAACATGGTCTCATCAGCAGTATTAACTGTTGTCAAATTATGCTTTAATTTTTACACTAAATCATGCTGATTCTTTCAGAATATGTATGTGCTATTATCACCTGGCCAGACATAATCCCTGTATTTCACCAACTCAGCAAGAGTCTTCCAGCTTTAGGAATCAACTGGCTGTCATACATACCAGTATCTACTGAAGTTATTCCAGTAATGCCTCCACTGAATTGCTTTGTCTTTCAAAGCAATAATTTTTCCTGTAAGAGGAAACTATAGTTGGTAATCCTCTGCAGAATAAAGACAGTTTTTATAGCAGGGATTTCTTCAGAACACACTGTGGGGCTGAGGGGCAGCTCTGTAAGCCTTCCTACCTCTGAAAGGAGAGACCAGTAGAGAAACCCTCAGTGTTTACAAAGTTTGATGCTATTGCCGGCTGTAACTGGCACGTAAAGGGACACACTGATTTTGTGCCAAAGCCGTTCTGTCACCACTTCTCACCTCTCCAGCTGTGGTGTGCGAGTTGATTGTAATTTTACAGGAGCCCCCGCCATGGCAATAAACTGTGGATGTCATTTCCTGCCTGCTGATCAGAGCTTCTATTTCATCCCGTGATGGCACAAACTCTCTGCATTTGGTTTTCTTCAGAGATTCATAAGTAAAAAGTGCGTATTTCTCCATTTCAGTTCCTGGAAACTGGTCACGAACCCTGTGAGACAAACATTACTACTTTAAGCTGCCAGTCTGTGAAATAGAAAGTTTACTTATTTGAGAATTTTTTTTTTCCTGAAAGTACCTCCACATCCAGTACGCTATTTAATTGACACACTCAAAGGTCTGCCTTCACTGTTAAGGAAAGTGTTCTAACGTGTGTTTTACTGTGGGATGACTTACATACTTTCATTATTTTGTTCTACAAACCTAATGGAAAGAAAAAACTGAACTACCTTTATAGTGTTAACTACAGGAATCTTGCAATGACTCAGATTTGACAGCAAGATAACTATGAAAAATCTTGTAATCAGCTCCCCTTTTTGTCAGTAACAGTTGCTGAATGAAGACTAAACTGCAGTAAGGTACTACAGAAAAAAAAGCAATAAAACATATTTGCTCCGTTTTGTGGTAGTGTCACTTAGGATACTTGATTTCTATTCCTGATTTTCTTAAAGATTCTCTCTAGACCTTGCTGTTCAGCAGTTACTATTATGAGTATTGACTAACAACTTTAACAAACTCAACTCTTATTAATTACTGACAACTGTTGAATGCAGGTAGCTTTCAGCACAGAGTGTTTCTATAATATTTCCAGTGATAAAATACCAGCTTCTTAGAGCTACTAAGGTTTAATTTATGTGAAAAAGTACAGTGATTGGTGATCTACAAGGCATAAAATGATCCTGATCGTACTGCAGGATCATTGAAATGCTGTAAGATGATTATGCGTCTATAATATTGAAAACAACTACAAAAATATTTTATCAACTGCAATTTTTTTAACTAGGAGACCAGTTTATGAGCTGAATTAAACTGAGAAGACATATCAATGTTGGATTTTTTCATTTTACCAGTTATATAAAGTGATTGGTATTTTTCACTGATCTTACTTTGGTTGAAAGGTATTATCTTCAATACAAGCATTTTACAAATATTTGTAAAATAATTAGATCAAAGTGATTGACAAAGTCCATGCCCTAGCACAAATGCAGACATGACTTTTAAATTCCTGAGAACAGTTTGTTCTTGGTGGACTAACTTTCCTAATGACACACTCTGCATTCTTTTGCTGCATCACAGCATGAGGAACTCCACATTCTGGTTAATGCTGAACTGTCAAAAATGTTTTTCTTTTTAATGGCCACTAATATCTTAAAATTAGATTTCCAAACAGCCGTTTTTACCTCAAATACATCTTTAAATATGATAATGGTCTTTTATGTGCATGATGCCTATCTCATAAAACTAAGGTAAGCAGGATGAAGAATTTTCGTCAGGGTGATTTGGACAGTTGAGAATGGGACGTGGGGGTACAGGCTTCAAGTAATTTAAGCAACTTTATACAAATACAGGAAGCCCCCCTTTTGTCAACATGAATAAATTATGCATACAGTTTAGTGTGATTTTGCTTGCTTCAAATGAGAATAATTCCACCTAGATCAACTCATATGCTCTCTTCTTACAACATTATTTTTAGATTAATTGTTTGGCATAACCAGTTCACGAAGTAAATGCATTTTCAGGATGTTTAAACACTGTTACAAGTTGTCTGGGAGAAAACAGTGAGTGAAGAAACTTCTCTTCTTGCTCGTAGTTCAAAGCTCCTCACCTTTTGAGATGGAACTTAAGATACTTCAGGATGCTGCGACTTGGCAGAAATGTGCAACTCATGCAGGTGAGTATTTGCCAACTATACAGGTTGCCCACACTCCCAGGGTTAGGCACTTTATTGGTCTGCTTGATAAGCTGACAGTAGAGCTCATCTCGAAGAGGTCGTAAATCATGTCCTGTTTGGAGGACACCTTGGATTATAGGGATGGGATCAGACATAGACTCCAGTTGCTGTAAAGAATTAAATATCTTGATGGCTTCATCCTGCAGAGTTGTGTAGCCTTTGTCTTTCAGCACTACAAAAGAAAAATAGGATGAAAGGTGCTTAGACTGAGATATGAAAGAGAAAGCAGTCAAGCTTAACATAGGAATTGCTTAATGCTATTCTGTGACCCTTATTATGCAGGATATTACAATGAATCTTTTCCATTTCAAATATATGATGCAAACTCATTTTATGAGCTATTTTGCTATTGAGATTTGATCTGACTTTAATGAAATCCAATTTTTACATGGTCTGACAACATAACTTAAAATGTTTATCTTGCTTGATCAGAGTTTTTTTGATGCAGAATCTTCCTTCCAGAGCAGTCTACACTGCTGAAGTGTTTTTCACTTTCACTGTCGCAAGAAAGTGAAAATCTAATCCGATCATAAGTGAGGTAAAGCATGACTGCATTATGGAAAGTAACAAAGATACATGGCATCACTTTTGTCTACAGCAGTAGCATTTCAATTAAACCCAAACAATACTACTAAACTAAATCACTGCCTTGAAACCGCAACTTGCTTTTTGAGCACTGGAAAAGAAGGTGATTGTTTTTTGTACTACACATTATTGAGCGTGGACTAACAACTTTCACAATCTACTTAAAAGCACCATGCAGTACTTGCGTTCAAGAGATGTAAAAAAAAAAATATTTGATTGTGGAACTTTCACATAATCATTAAGGTTAGAAAAAGACCTCAAGGATCATCAAGTCCAGACGGAAGAGTTTGGAAGAGATTGTTCTGATGTCTGAATCAGTTAGGTCTACTAACTATCAAAGCACAAAAGAGTACAAACATATCTTATGAAGTTTCAAACCTGACATCACATTAATCCAGAAAATAACTAGAACTCAACTGCAAGTCAAGGCGATAACTGAGCATCAGTCTATCTGTGGAGCTACATTTGGTGTCGTAAGACTTTGGCAAGACTTCTGTCTCAAGAGGGAGCTAGTTGTTTCTGTCCATGGGAAACAGAGAGCAATCATGCTGCACTCATGCATGGGACAACCAAGCTCAAGCACCAAGACCACAGGAATTGTGCCTTGCCACTGTAAAGGAGGAGGAGGAGGGGAAGAGGAGGGAAAGGTTTCTCCTAGGATTTCCCTTTTCCTTGTCATTTGAGCAGAGGGATATTGTTTATCAGGAAGTCTTACCTGAAATATCTTAGCTTTTAATCAACTGTGACCTCCCACCCTCCTCCCAAGGATGAAACTTCTGATCTGAGACACATCTTGTTTAATACACAGTTGCAAAATAAGATAAGCAAATCCATTTAAGGACACCAAATTCACAACCATCAATAGCTCTGAACCATTCATTCAAAACAGACTTCTAAGTCTGTGATTAAGCCAAGGATATTAAAAGACATGCTTACACCTGTTTCAGGAGTAAATGAACCATTACTTTTTAAAATCACATCCACTCAAATGTTTTTCCCATAAATAATGCTTCACAACACAACTGATGAAACTTAGATTTGTTAATTGGAAGTCGTGGCTGCTGCAGCTCCCCACATGGGGTAGGAAGCAACAACGATTTGAGAAGACTATGGTTCAAGGAGATTGAATGAATTGGCTTATTTCAGTGCAAGGCTTTTCAAATTCAGTGGTCTCAAGGGTAACAAACTCACATTACAGCGGCAATAGCAACCTTCATTTTTGTAACACCCACGCAGGAGCACCGCAAGCCCATGGCCCTGTGCTAGACAAACTGCTATTCTCTACCTCCCAGAAAAGAACAGGAAAACTTGTCTATTTGTATTACAAACACGTATTTTGACTACCATTATTCACTACAGCCCATTGACTAAAAACTTGCATCCTCTGGTTTAGTCTTTCATAAGGAAAAGTGTTTCTATGATAGAAAAACTTACAGTTTAGATTGATGTCCCCATATGGCAGTGGCAGTAATGGCGAGTGCAATGGATGATGAGTGTAACGGAGAATAGGGTTTCTCTTATAAATCTGTTCAACTACATCAGCATTCAGGCAGTTTTCCTGTTGGGGTAAGAAAAAAGCAGGATTTGGGGTCCAGCATTAACAATAAAGCAAAGCTTTGTGTCTCTAGGTTGGCTGTGAAAAAATTAGTCATCAGTGTTACCAACACTATTTGGTGCTAAATCCAGTTGTGGGCACTGTGACTCCCATGGCACTCTACTAGCTATGAATGCTCAGTATCTGCTAACCTCAGGCCTTGCATAAACTTACTTTACTTGTGCAATAAAAAACAAACCATAGCAGAGCTGCAGGAGACAAAAATGAAGTTTCATGAAATTTTTTGAACTGAGTTTTCATTTTACAATTGTTTTTATTCCAGTATTTCGTAACTGGAATTAAGACATCCGTATTCAAGTTTTATTTGAAAATATTTATCCAGCATAATTAATTGGCCCTTTCAGCTAGAATCTACAGGAGCTACCATAACAAAATAGTCTAGAAAAACTGCTGCTGTAAACCTGATGCACCCACTCTGACATCTAAATACTGTTTGTTCTTGGGCCACGTTTGACAGATGCATGACCACTGTCTTCTGTCAGTCCTCAACTTTCACATAAGTTTACTGGTCTGAAGAATAGCATCCATAGCCTTGGAATTTAGGATTTGATACTTCCAGTCCATGACAGAGGATGTGGCACCCTTTAAGGGAAAATGTTAGTAGCAGTTCTGCCCCCTTGCCTATTTTTTTTGGTCTCTTCTGAGAATTATTATCCTCTAACCGGAAAGTACATTAGCAAAAATCTGCAGAAAGGCATTATCTGGCTAGGCATGCAATGTCTCCAAGAGGACCGTAAAGCATTAATCATTAATTACATATGTTTCGCATCACGCAGAGACATGAGATGCTTGGACTGTACTATCACAGAACAGGAAATGAACCATAATGAAAAAAAAAAAAATCACAGGATCTGTCTAGTCCCCATCCTGGTGTGCCGCTCCCTGTGGCCATAGCAAACAGGTCTGCTACCTCATGAACCTGCACACTGCACTCTACTACCTGGTATAGCAACATCTGTCAAGTTACACAAACCAGTAAAACTTGTTACTCTTTCCATGGAAAAGTTACCACTGTTGCCCTCCAAGTTGCACTTCATACCTTGTTATTTTACTGTTTACATAGAAATTCCTATATCAGGTCAGTGAATACATTCAGGTTCCACAATTTCAGTCCACGGCACTGTGTGATTAAACCCCACATTTTTGGCTTTATTACCCCATATGTCAGAGCCAACATAAAAAAAGGAGACTGATTTCAAATATTTAAGCAACCATCCTTTCCCACCCCATGCCCTCCTGTTTGTGCCTACCTTAATATCTTGAATAAGTTGCTGAGTTGGTGTATCGATTGGTGCTTTTGTGTCAATCACATTCTGGATTGCACTTGACCAGCGGGTCGCCTCGTTAAGCAATTTTGTATAGAGACGGTAACAATGTTTGCGTCCGTATACGGTTACATTCCAATAACCTAGCACAACAGTAAAAATTACTAATCATAGAAGCTGTATCTATAAAAATACCCCAACTTCTGTCTGATATCACCTGTAGTCCCATCAGACCCTGAGCGCTCCATTCCAGATCACACCGGCAGTTTTTCAGGAACTAAGAAGTTGTATGACTAATAAAGCATCATAATACAGATACTACAGCATAAAAGGAGATTCTCTTCTTTAAAAAAGCCTACGAGTAATCTCAGAGTACAGCCACCACCATGCAGCCTCCCATTTTATCCAGTAATCTTAGTAAAAGTGACCATAAGACAACACTCTGGAACACCTCCTTCTCCAGAGGAGGGCCACGAAGATGATCAGAGGGCTGGAGCATCTCCCATATGAGGACAGGCTGAGACAGTTGGGGTTGTTCAGCCTGGAGAAGAGAAGGTGCGGGGGGGGAACTTATAGCAGCCTTCCAGTACCTGAAGGGGGCTACAGGAGAGATGGGGAGGCACTCTTGATCAGAGAGTATAGTGATAGGACAAGGGGTAATGGTTTTAAGATGAAAGAGAGTAGATTTAGATAAGATATTAGGAAGAAATTTTTCACTGTGAGGGTGGTGAGACACTGGAACAGGTTGCCCAGAGAAGCTGTGGATGCCCCATCCCTGGAGGTGTTCAAGGCCAGGCTGGATGAGGCTTTGAGCAACCTGGTCTAGTGGAGGGTGTCCCTGCCCATGGCAGGGGGGTTGGAACTAGATGATCTTTAAGGTCCCTTCCAACCCAAACTCTTCTATGATTCTGTGATTATATGTTAGCTACATGTGGCTTCTGGGCACTACTTCTCCAGTCCTGTCTGTAACAGGAAAATCTGAGACAGTCTTGCTTTGTATGCACAAGTCTTTCATTATCTGTGGCACAAGTACAAACAGGTATAAGGCATGATCTACCTCTTCCGTAAAAAAGTCATTAATTTCACACCAATGAAGTGGCAACTAAAGAGCATTTCAGTTCAAATTCTCTCTCTGCATCATTGTATAGGCTTTTTATGAAGCAGATTCAATTAAAGAAAATCTATTTAATCTCTCACTAGCGAAAACCCCTTTGAAGTGTCAGTGACCCCAATGAGATTATAGAGGGCTTTCAACAGTCACTTCTCATTTGCAAACAGCCACTTACGAGTCAAAAACCAGTTTTGAAAATGCACAGGGGAGTTGACTCAAGCGTAGTATGTAGGTTAGCACAAACTGGACTATTACTCCAGATGTCCCTATACTTGCTCCAACAATATCAGTCCTCACAGCTCCTCAGCACATAAAATAATGTATGAGGAGAGTGCTACCCATATGTCTTTCCCCAGGTCTTTGATGTGTAAGCGTAAGTGTTCACACTAACTTAGTAGCAGTGTCAGTCTATGATAACTTGAGTGTTAGAACAAATTTTACTCATCCATTATTACGTCTGGTTTTTGCCCAGTAATTCCCTGCAAAATGCCTCAGTGACTTAGCAACCTGATTTGTTCATCAAACTGAAACTGTAATAATCCATTTTAAATATTCTGTAATGCACTATTTGTTGCATTACTAGGTAGGCAGGACAGAAGGCAACTAAAAGCATGTTTGAACAAGAGCAAACAATTACCTGTCTCTTTGAAGATTTTTTCATCAGGTGGGACCACCGAGCAGAGGCTGTTCAGGACCAGCGTACCCAATTTCAAAGCATTTTTCTCTGAACTCTTGTAGTAGTCCAAAGAATTGTGCGTCAAAACAAACCAACGCTTTTTCAGTTTTAATGAAGATATCTTTGGGTTGTTTTTCACTTCCTTGTGTAGCCATCCTGTTAGAGACACAATTTGAAACACACTTTTTTTTTAAAAAGAGTTGGATGAAATTAAATTGCTGAAAGTTAGTTGTGTACCTTTAACAACAACAAAAATAATGATGTGAATTGTTTAGCCCATATATTAAACAACTTGGAGTAAAATTCTCAAACAATGAAATGATGAAGAATGTTATATAAAATCCATACAAAAACTTTTCTGCTTTCATGTTTACCTGGAAAAACTCTTTTGTCAACTTACAAAAACACTTTTGTCATCATTTCAGTGTTTTCTTACATAGCACAGCAGGAGTGTAATTTCAGCTGTATTAATTTGTGAGTAAACTCTACCGTACAAAGATGAGGCTCCAACACTGCCATGCAATGCTAGCATATTACACAGACTGTATTATGGGAGCAATCTCTTTGAAGCTTAATGGATGTTAATTTATTACTGCCCCACTCAGTTCTTACCTCTCACAATGAATTCTTGTCCCTCCACTCTAGTGTCCCCCTTTGACCTTTGCAGCAGTGTTATCCAGTGATGCATCTCTTCAGGAGTGTCAGCATTACAGTGAAGAACACGATTAGCAGTGATGATCACAAATGAATTTGGTCTATGAAAATAAATGAGATTGAAAAAGCCTTTACAATCAACATTGTCCTGTTTACCTCACTCATCCACAACCATAAACACTGTCCATTGTTTGCATTTTCTATTCAGACAAATGCTGTCCATGTCTAAAGCATTTATTTCAACACCACTAAACCTAAAAAAAAATTAAGCATTTGAAAAGACTCAATTATGTTGGATTCACACCAAAATACTAGGGCTCTGAATGGTGGGAAAGTTTACATTAAATTGCAACTTGTCCTATCTCAAAATAAATCTATGGTGAGAAAAACCACCTATCTTTATTCAGCTTTGGATGTGAATCAGAACTCTATTTCAGGATCAGATCTATGTAGAGTGTCTGCTTCAGTAGTTACATTAGCTAAAACCAACTACAGTTTACAAAGGTCTTTAGTGAAGCAGCATGTGAACACAGATTCCTTTATTTTTAATGCAGTGCAACCCAATTCGCAGAGAGTACAATCTATTTTTAATGAGCGTCTGGCTTTTACCCAATCCTACACCAGGATTCACTGAAGCATGAAGAACTAGCCCAAGTGAACTGTGCTGATGGCTCTCTGGATTAGAGGCAGGTTCTTCACCCTGCAAACACTTGCTTTAACCCTTTACTAATAATTTTTTCATCCTGGAACACACACAGTTTTTAAGAACTATACCAGATGCAGAAAAGGGGAATTACGCAGTCTGGGCCACTCCATGCGTGATAAGGTCATGGGCCTTCTTTTTACAGTTCTTTGCAAGAAGGTAACTGGTTAGAGATTAGAATCAATTAAAAAATTGTTTATGGGGATGGAGAGGTTCACCCAAACACGATACCGTTCTCCAAAACCAGTTTGTGCCATGTAAAAGCTAGATGGATAACAGGATAAATGAGTAAATAAAACTATTAAGAGAAAAAATTAGAAAACTGGGTGAAAGGAGGTTACAGTAAATCAAGTAACATAAGAAGTAAGTTATCTTAAAAGTTATCTAGGATGGACGGTTCGATGGATAAAGAATTGATTGGCTGGCTGCAGCCAAAGGGTTGTGGT